TAAGATCTGTTGCATCTCACGGAGTTTTTGTCACTGCACTGTTCTCTCCTTTGCCAGATCAGTAGCAGGGAAATTAAACCTTGGTGTAAGCACAGGTGAAATGGGACACTCTGCTGTTTGTTTTTGACAGTAATGCAGGTCAACCCATTTATAGTAGAGAGCTCTTTTTGCCTTCTGGGCACCACCTGGACCTGTTTACCTTTTCATTATGTTTCTCCGTTGCCAACGCTAGTTCATCCTTAGTGGAAATAACAACGATGCAGATGCTAAGATAGACAGGGCTTCTGCAGTATCATCTGGTCTGAAAAAGCTTAGGGCAGGTTAAAATGAAGCTGTGGTGAAACCAACACTAAATGTTGCAGCTTTGTCCTAACTGGAAAGTCTCCCCCTGCTGCTGTCCATAGTGCTGGGCTTTTGAGCTGGGAATGGGATAAAATAAGCAATGTTTTTGCATCTCCAATAATTACTGAGTTTTCTTTTCACTTTGTGAGGAAATTTATTGAAAGCCACTTGAAAGTCCCAATAAATATCTCTTTGCTATTGACCATTGTATTAACATCCTCACAGTATTTTAATGGACTGGTGAAGAATGATTTCCTTCACCTCAAAATCCCTGCTGGCTTTTTTTTCAGTCATATCACATTTAGCTAGATGATTTTTAGTACTCTCTGTAATTATTGTCTCAACTAATTAGTTGATACAGAAATAAAGCTTGCAGGACTATAATTTCCCAGTTTAGTCTGGATTTTCCTTAAAAACATGGCAACACTTATTCTCTTTCAGTCCTCTGGAAGTTAATGGTTTTAATATGAGGTTTCCTTTTTATTCCAATTATTAATATTTCAGCTAATTTTTGCATTGATCTCTAATTTTTATATGATTGAAGTTTTCAAGGTATTTTCTGGAGTCACCTTCTTGAAATACTGTCTTGGACAATTGTAAGCAGTGATGGGCAGGCTCCTCCTCGGCATCCTGCTCCATGCAGGAAACTGCCTGCAGCAGGAGAAATACCTGCTTTCCCTTGCTCAAGCTGGGAGTAGGTGGGATGTGAGCAGGCACCACGTGGTGCGGAGTTGTTCCTGCTCACGTGTATGAGAGTGCTCTCCAATTACAGAGGTGAGAGGAGGAGCAGCTTTTCAAACCCTGTCCTCTGGGCAAAATCCAGCATGACCTCCTTTGTGAGCTCTCTGTGTTTACAGTGTTCCTGGAGACAGCACTCATCACCAGGATTTTCTGGTAACTTGTTTGTTATGACTTTGACTAATTGCATTTCAAATTTTCTCTCTGCATTCCTAATCCTCATTTCACGTTTCCAGCTAAGAGTATGCCCTTCAGAGTTGGGATGACTTTTCTGAAGGATTTCATGTGAGGAGTGGCTTCCATCACTTACTTTACTCTCTTTGGTGGCTTTTCTGAGCCCTTTTGCCACTAGGTCTGTCACCACTGAAATTTTCACTGATACATTTTAACTGGTATTTATTTTCTTCTAAATAAATTCCTTTACTTTAAGACCTGATTAGCATCTGCCAGTTTATGATACCTGCACATCTGATGTTCTGATGAGCAGTTCTTTGCCAATGTCTCTGTGAATATAGGCTCCTTGAAAAGCATCTGAATGACTTGAGAAGCCAGGTGCTTATACATTCCTGGGTAAATTAAAAAATACCACTTTGCAGCTCTGCTTGCTGAGCATGTGCTTTATGCTAGAGGTGCCTCCTCTCCATAGCTGACAGTTGTTACTTTCACAGTTTTATTAGTCAATCCCAATCTACTGGGGGCTTAGGTAAACTACGTGAGTCTGATAGCCATGCTGCAGGCCAATGTAGAATTTGTCCTGCCAAAATTTGGGGAAGAGGTTTAAGACAGAAAGAGATGCCCGTGTGGACTGAGGAAAGAGCCATATGCACAGACAACATTTGTAATCTGAAGGGCTTCCGGAGGGAATCTTATTCTTGATATTCCTCAGTATATGAAATGCGTACTTACTCTGCAGTGTGGTCCTAGGCATGATGCATACAAGCAAGTCCGTATAAAACTATCTGTTGGTCCCAGCGCTTTTTACTGATAAAAAGGCTCTTTGAAGTATTGCTTGTGAAACAAAGAGCAGTATCTTGTGAGATTTTTTTGAAGAAAAGTTCTGATTCATTCTGAGATTCCATTTAACTTGTAGTTTCTCCAGGGTAGAACAGAAATGTGGGGCAACGGTATTGGGCACTGTAGTAAGAATGTGGCATTCTTACTTTGCCTATGATGAGAGAAATGTCGTCTATCAAAGAAACAAGTGCTGCATCTGGACTGTGACCTAGCTTGGCGAGATCCAAGAAATTAATAGATAGCATTAAGAATACTTTCATGCTAAAAACCCTGACCTGGTTGATAAGAAAAGCGACCTTGGAAGCTGCATTCACAGTGCGGCTTCATGCTCGCTATACTTCTGCCTCTAATGACGATTGGAGTTTTGTAAAATGGAGGGCTACATAGATAGATCTTCTGAGACAAGTTGCCTGGCCATCTTCTGTCTCTCTGGCAGGTGCAGGAGCTGGCATTCCCTGGTCCAGCCAGCCAGCCAGGGCAGCTGTCTCTTAGGAGTCGTAGCCAAGCCAGTTGAGAGAGCATAGTGGAGGACGCTGTGCATGGGGGTTTTGTTCTGTTTTGTTCCTAGAGCCCTATGTAAGGATCCTCTTGTCTCTCCTGGCCAAGACTGCTGTGTCCATAAGACCATCCATGCTCTCAACAATGTGGATAAGTTTGGGAAGACCAAATTTCCTCTCAGCTTGTGCTAGAGGAAAGAGTGACTATTTCTGCCTCCTTCTCATCAGCAACCGATGTGAAGATACACTCTCTATCTAAGCATGCCTACAACCAGTTGCATTATTAGCTGCATGAGTTTTCCATCTCCCTTGGCGATCCATGTGGGGTGGGTAGTGCATTGGAGCCAGCACCTCTGCCCTGAGCAGGCTGCCCAGCCTGACACCCATCACTGTGCTGCAGCCCCAGGGTTGCTGGTGCTCTGCTCTGAGCCGTGCTGCAGCCTGGAGTCATTTGGTGGGCTCCTGCTGTGCCTGTGGGAGGTCACAGGGGTCTGTGCTGAGCTCAGTGCTGCGAGCTCGGTGCTGACTTTTTGGAACACACCGGCAAGGAGCCTTGTCCCTGTTTCCCGCTGGTGCCTTTGGCTATGCCTGCCCAACACCTTGAGGAGAGGCTGCCCACCGCTCCCCTTGCCCTTCACTGCTGGCAGGGGGTTTCCTCCACAGCTGGAGGCAGTGGCCAGAGGGTGATTATTGGAGCTGCATAAAAACTGTTTCCCTGTAATGAGCTGCACTCATGGTACTGTGACAAACTACCCAGCTGCTCTGGCTCCCTCTCTCCCACTGCCTTTCTCTTTCATCCCATTACTTCCTCCCTGGTTTACTTGCTTGCTTATCTTCTTTCACAGCTTCCTTGTTCCCTTTTGGCTTGCTTTTGCCTCCACTACACACAGAGGAGAGTAGAGAAAGAGCCAGTGCAGAGCCTTGTTACAGAGAGGCTGTTGTAAAATGCAGGACAGTAATGTGGGAGACTTCAGGCATGCTCGTGGATGTTTTATGCTGCCTATGTATTTGCAAGTGTTTTTGAGCCAGCAGTATGCTGGGCTAAGCTCACGAGTTACACTTGCCTGTATGCCCCCACTTAGGAAAGTGTGTGTATGCATCAGACTGTCAAGTCTCATGCTGAGTGTGAGACTTGCACATTAGTCTTTCTCCTCATGCTCCCTTAGGCCTGTGTTTTGTGCACTCGCAGCTCAGCACCCAGTCCGTCCCCTGACATGTTCCCAAATGCGGAACACTCATGGCACCGCTTTGCAAGAGGGCAAAAATAGCCACTGAATGACGTGTGTGTGTGTGTGTGGTGTTCTTGAATGCTTGTTGTGTTGTTCCTTTCTGCCACACAACTTTGAGGGTTTCAGTGCAGCCCCCCACCACAGGATTTGACTTTCAATGACTTCTAACACAGAAGCTGAAGGAATTGGGAGCCTTCATGCAGATAGGTGTCAGGCGTTAACAGAAGATGGGTGCACAGTTATTTTTTGTTATTGATTTGCTTAGGTTTTATTAATATATCAGAGTAAACTTATCTGAAGTTCATTAAATATTCAATATAACTGTGTCCTTGGCAGGAGGCTTTTCTAGTGAGAGTAATAAAGGCAGAATAAATCATTGTCACTGAAGGATATGGTGGCTGGTCTATTCTTGAGGAGCAAAATGAACCCCAAGAGCTAAAATTCAGACCAGGCAAGTGGTTGGTGATGGATTTTGTCATTTGGTAGTTGCATTTTGGCCATGGTGAGCACAGCTGGCAAGTCTTCTAATTCTTAGTTGCTCAAACCACTGTCACTAAAGACTTTATTTGCAATGTAAGCTGTAGGACCAAGACCTGGCTGGACTGGAGTGATGTAATCTCCCATTGTGTGTGTCCGAGTGAGGTGAGGAAGATGAAGGACTGCCCACATACTGTCCCTCCTCACTGCCAAATAGACATCTGTAATTTTGATTTTTAACAAACTCTTCTTCCAAGTTCCTGTAATTTTCTGGGATGGTATCTGTGGTTTTCCTCTCAGTTTAATTCTCTGCACTCACACTAGGAGTCTAGCATAATAGTTGTGGTACTGACTTTTGTCTTTTGCAAGGGGTTCCCAAACTGTGCATCGTAGTGACGTATCACAGTGACAAACCAATGCTGCCCTATGGCTAGCCATCTTATTCTCTGCAAGGATGAGCCAAAAACTCATGTGCTGTCACTGATCATGGTGCCTGTACAAACAAGTGTCGAAGCCCTTTATACTCGGGAGCATCTTGTCCTGGTCTGGTTCAGCCCAGCTGACACGTTAGATGATGATGCCCAAAATGAAGAAAGGAAATCCTTGGTCTGCTTAAATACTGGACAAATAAAAGATACATGTGTGGGCGTGTGCATGTTACAGACAGCAAAAGGGCTTAGCTGATGTTCTGGTCTCTTTGCAGGTGCACCTGCGCTCTGCTGAGCGCCTCCGGGAGTTGTGCTGCTCCAACCGAGGCACCTTCATCAAGGTGGGACAGCACCTGGGAGCACTTGATTATCTGCTGCCTGAGGAGTACACCCGCACCCTCAAAGTGCTGCACAGCCAGGCCCCGCAGAGCACCAGGCAGGAGATTGAGCAAGTTATCCGTGAAGATCTGGGCAAAGAGGTAGGGTCAGCCATAGCCTGTGTTGGCTTCTCTGGTCTTAGCAAGCCCTAGGCAACTAGAGGAGAGAAAACTGGTAGTTCTCAGTTGTAAGAGATACCAAGGGGAGATGCATCTCCTTTGGCTATGGGAGAATGCCATGCGAATTTTCCCTGTCTATCAATTGGCGTTATTGGCAAGCTTAGGTAAGGAGAAGATAACAGAGTAAGGGTGTGAAAGCCGCCAGATGGAAGTGGCGGGACTCAGCAGAGCAGCACAGTCTATATCCCAAGACAACAGGGTAGCTGGAGGTCAGAGTGGAGGGCTGTCTGCCACACTGAGGGGTGGAAGCTGAAGGTATTGATGTTCAGGACAAAGATATATTGGCAGAGCTCTGTGAGGGATGACTGCTCTCCCCTGGCTGCACTAGACCAATTCCAGCTAGCACTGACAGCCCTTTAGTTTCTCAAGCCCCTAATTAACCCCCAAAGAAAATAATAGCATAAATCACTTTTGGTGCTGCAGTCAGGTAGCGCAGTAGCCCAGGAGTCAGTGCCACCATTAACCCTCAGCAGCCCACAGCACTGAGATCAGTAGATTAGGTGCCTGTGTTCATTAGATATAAGAGAAGTAACCACAATAAATTAGAGAGGATGTTCTGCTATTTTGCATCTTGCCCCTCACAAGAAGAGGTTCCCTCACACTCCAGCCCAGGTTGAGGAGAGGCATTTCGAGGATTGCAATTGACATGGTAAGAAGGAGAAGGAGGCAATAATGGGCAAAAGGAATGGTAGAGAAGGTGTGTGTGAGGGGGAGGAAGATGGAAGGTTGAAGAAGGGAAGCAGTGTGTACATCTGTTACTGCTCATATAGGGGATTTTTGGGGGTGTTTTTGGTTGTTCTGGCCTGTCTGACTGTGTGGTAAGGAGGTATGGGGGAAACACAAAGAGGTAAGTGAAATATTTGCACCTAGAGGGTATATTATGGGCAGATTTGGATGGGGTGGATTTACCTATGTGTGATTTAAGGGTCTAGATATTGTGTAGCTGGGAATGACAATGAATATCTCCCTTCAGTGTAATGGCAGGGTTAATGTCAGCCCCCAACCTGCAAGATGCTCCCTCTATCAGCACTGCATCCTTGTAGCATGGCTGGTACCAGCTGTGTTTCATAGCTCAGTGGATAGATGGAGCAGGGCTGGCTGGCTGCTCCCTGCAGACCCCTGCAGGCCCCTGCTTCCATGAGCCTCCATCTGGCTATCTCCCCTCTGCAGGAGCTGTGGAAAGCCATCCCAAGGTTAGCCCACATTAAATTACCACAGGAGCCACCTCTGGCACAGTCTGTGTGGCATCTCTTAAAGGCTAAAGTAGGTGCTCAGAGGTGCACTTTTTTCTCAAGTGGTGTGTTCAGCTGCCACTGATACTCTCTGATTTCTTTGTGCTTTTTGGGAGCTAGATGAATGCTCCGTGCCTCATTGATTCCCAGTGAAGCAGCTCGAATACAGTCTTCACAGCAGCTTTTCCTCATAGCATTCGCTTCACCCACATGAGCAGTGCTGGGCAATATTTAATTTTAAAGAAACAGGGAGGAAAAAAAAAGGTAAAAATGGGAAGAAAGTGATAGAGGGGAAATTGTAACGAGAGAAAGAGCAATGATAGAAGAGATAAATGAATGGAATAATGTATAAAAATAAAGGAGCTCCTAAAACTGGGTGCTATTAAAAGCTGATGTAAATGCCAGTGTTAATAGTTACAAAGTACCAAAGCAAGGTATTTAAAAACTGAAAGGATTTGGGGAAACTAATGCACCAAAGTTGTCTTTGCTGGAGCCCAGAGGATTTAGTAGAGTTACTTCAGGAACAGATTTAATTCCATTGTAGTTAGATCCGCAGTACATTCTAAGTATGATATACTTAACTGAAATATAGGTGGTAGAGGGGTGAGGTGGAGTGTCAGGGCAGAGGAGAGTGCAAAGAGGGATCCTGAAATTTTCCTCCTTGGAGACAGCATCAAACATGCGAAAATTGCAGATGAATTTAAATAGAAGAGAACATGACAGTGAGGGAACCTTCCCAGCATGCCTAGGCCTAGACCTCCTGCTCTTGAATTCAGTGGTAAGACTCACAGTTCCCCCATCAGGCCCAAGAGCAGGGCTCCTCAGATGAATCTTAAGTGTAGGCAAGAAGTAATTACATACAGTTTGGATCAGTGTAGAAAAAATGGAAGAAAGAGCAAGTGGAAATACAGAGATACCTAGGGAGGAATGTGACAAGCTGACAAAGTAGGCAAGAGTTTGCAAAAGGGCATGAAGATCAAAAAAAGTCAATTTCATATATAGAAGCATTGTAGCTTCATCAGTTAGAAATAGTCTGCCTTCTGATGTGACCTACTCCCGAGAGTCTTAACACAGGCTTAGATGTTTGACAGATGATTGTGGGAAAACTGGCATAAATGACTGTGCCAATAGGACTGATGTTTGGGCAAAGACAGAGCATTTGTGAGGGGGATTTACAGCAGTTCTACCTGGTTCTGTCGTCCCCACGCAGAGTTGTGCGATACCCTGCTGATGAGGGATCTCCCATTCTAGGCCAGCATCATAGACCTGGACTGGGAGCTGCAGCGTGTAGTTCTGCTGCATGAGCTAACTGATTTAAAGACAAATGGCATGTGTGCTGATCTGACACAGAAGGAGAAGCATTATATATGCTGACTAGTGGGTTGTTCTGTCAAACCCTGTTTTAAGTCTAGGAGCAATTTGTGTACCTATCAGGGATCATTGGGATAAAAATAATCAGTAGTGAGCAGATGCTGTCTTTCTAATCTCAGCCGCAGTGGTTGGGCTAAGTGATGGTGGGAGGTGATCATTCTCTTGAGTACTGTTTGTGAGAGGTTGAGATGGGGGGGGCGCGATTCGCAAAGTAACACAGTAGTAGCAGTGGGAGAGGCTGCACAAAGAAATCTTTGCAGTGACTCCTGGAAACAATCACCAGTAAGATCACGGAGTAAGAATCTTCTGAGGAGACAGTGGGGATACCACAGGTTGGGCTTGTTCTGGATATATTCCTTGGAGCAATTGGGAAAAGCTGTGTGCGTAAGAATGGGTGATAAGATATGAATGAAAGAGTCTCTCCTACCTCTATTTTTATCTTCCTTGCTTGAACAAGGTTCTGAAAGTGAAAAGGTGTCAAGCGTGGAAAATGAAAGCAAAACGAATATGTTCTTTCTCTGCAGAACTATAAATGACATAGGGAGAGAGAGCTGGTTCAGCTAAGCGCTCTAACAGCAAAGTGTATGCAGAGCAGAGCCAGGCAACTTCTGATGAAGTGTGTACACCAGACATTTAGGGAGAAAGAGTGATGAGGGGCTCTGGAAGATAAATCTCTCAGAGTGGTTGTACCTTTAAAGCACAAAATCATTGTGCTTAGAAACTAGAAAAGATGGAAGGAATATTTTGCCAGCACTAGGATCAGGGGCATTTTCTCTCTCTGGCAGGTCTGTTGGAAGGGACTGTCTTGTGGCTGTGGGATATAGGGATGTGGGAATAAGTTGAGTCAGATGCATCTGCATTCAGTTAATTAGAATCAAAAAGGAGTATTTTGGCCTTGGCCTTGTTTTGATAAAGAGAGTGCTGTGGTCCCAAAGCGGAAAACTGCTTAAAGGTCTGCATGATAGCATGCATGGTTGATGCCATAATTGAAAAAAATCATAAAATGGTAGTGTGTGAATGTGTGAAGTCAAAACATTGTGTCACCAAAGTTTTGTGAATTCTAATTAACTGAATGGCAACACCAGCTGCTATTTACCTGAAGAGGTTAATAAAAGGGGAATGTAGAGAGAGCTCTGTGGAGAATCCTGAAAACCAAATTCTGTGCAGCCTCATTTTTTCAGCACCCATGGTTGCCATACAGGGATACTGGGGAAGTGGTGCCAATGTGGTCCCAGAGCAGAGATGCAGAAGCCAGGGCATCTCTGACTTTGACCAGGCTACCTGACAGCCCTTCTGTATCTGTAAAAAAGGCTTCCTGTAGATCTTTCTGCATGTGATTTCCATGGGCAAAGTACTCAGAGAAACTAATTGCTCATTGCTAAAACTGATCGGACTACTGTGAAACTCTCCCCTTTCAAAAGTACATCTGCTTCGCTCTGCTCTGCTCAAGGCTGTTCCAGACCTTTCCTCCTCATAGAATGGAGTCATTGCAGAAGGACTTGACAGCTTTTACAGCCCTGATCTTCCAAATATCCTTAGTGCCTTTCTGTTGTCTGGCTCCACTGCTGTCCAGTGCAGTCCTTAATATGGGTCTTGGTTCTCTGCAGCTGTGCAATGATAATGAGTTTAGATACTGTGACATCTTCTTGCTTCATTGTGTGCTCCTGTCTATGCCAACACACTCTTCTACCTCTTTCTAGTCCCAAAATACCTCCTGGTTTGCTGTCATATTGCACATCCCAGTGGGCCACAGCATACTCTACCCAGTCAGCAGCACTGTATTACCTCTCCTGTATATAGCAAGATGTCACTTTTCACAGCCCATTGCTTCCAGCTTCCAGCCCATCCTTACACATTTTTAATCAGCTTACTGACCTTTCCCCTAAGACTGCTGTCCCAGTTTAAATGAGACACAGGTCTTTTGCTGAGGATGAGTTATGAGAAAAGACCCAAACTCCTCCCTCTAAGCAATTATAAATCTGAAATTAAGAGGATCCGATTGAAGGAAAAAAACTATGGAAAAGGAAAAATAACAGTCCTTTATTAAAAGGTATGTGTGTATTGGCAGAAACAACGAAAGAAAACAAAACAACCAAACAATACTCCTAAACCCACAGATAATCCCCTTCAAAACAAACCAATAAACAAGCAAAGAAAAAAAAGTAAACAGTTCAGTTTTCACCCTTTGGTGCAATTCTAACCACAAGCAACAGGGGGCATCGTTGGATCACCAGAGATGCAGAGCTTGTAGTGTCCTGTGCCAGTCACCAGGTGGCGCTGTTGGATCACCAGAGATGCAGAGCCTGCAGTTCTTTGTGC